CTCGTGGAGCCTTTTCTGAAGTGCTGTAATGGCATCGCGCTGTCTGCCTCCTCTGTTCAGAACGGGTAGCGACTCCGTTGTTGACTGATATCTTCGTCGTCGTTCAGTCGGTCTTCGTCAGCCGTCGTTGAGCTGCTACGCCGCCGTAAAGTCGTTAAAATTTTTGATGTCAAACATTACAACCTCACATGAAAATGCTGAACGACAATATCCTGAGACCCACTAGCCGGTCTTGGTGTCCCGTCTTTTAGAAGTCTCACTGAAGCATCGACAGACGCACTGGGGAAGCATCGTCAGAAACGTCATTTTATGCAGAAAACTGCGAAGTTACATAATAAGTCCAAATTGCAAAAACGTTCTATGGGTTTCTCAGAATACAATCAGAAATAATCTGTCACACCATTGGTCGCGCATTCAGACGAGTACTTTTCTCTCTCGAAATCCGCAGTTTTTTGTCAGCCATGTCTCTAACTCTGCTTCGAATCGTTCTTAGCAGTGAGGAACGAAAGCAGCAGATTTTACAATTTAAATAAATTACACAACGGCTGTACAACAAGTGGTTAACGAGCAAAAACCGGTATGACATTCGGAAGAGAGAAACCTAATTTGCAGCAGACTTCGTTAATCAGCAAATATCAACTGCTTGTTCCATGCTGGATAGGTTTATCTTTATATGACGACCAAGTTCCAGCTGCACCTTCAATAAGCAAAAAATGCAATTGCCAAAGACAGATTTCGATTTCTGGTCGTATTCCTTTCATACTGCGAGAAAATTAACACACAAGCATTAATATCTTTCGGCACTGGCCAGTTCAGTACATATTACTAAAATTTGAAACCGCTGAAAGAAGATAAATCTGGAAGACGTATATTTTCCTTGATTTGTTGCGAAATATTCATATTTTTTACAGCAGTAACAGCTCGAGCAGGAGCAGCCGCAATGCCAGCCTAAAACCGGTAAACTTAAAACGAGATTACCTGCAAAATGATTATTTAACCTCTTGCTTTTCTATCTTGTTCTGTTCTTGAATCCGCAAGTAAATTTCGTTCATGTTTGTTTCTAGGACCATTCCTCCCATGACAATTTCGTTTAAAATGTAATGTACCTATAAATGAATAGTCACTGGATAGCAGCAACATCAAAATTCGATATGTATATACCTTGTCAAAATGAAAAATTAGATCTAACTCACACACGTTCTCAAAGCACTTGTCAAGCGTTTCCACGAACACCTGTAATAAAGAAAAATCAAATTTGATTTAGCAAAAATCCATTTATTACTACTTTGACAACCGAGGTTTGCAGAATTCGTTAAGATTCGAAAGGAAGTTCTGACTATGAGAAAGATGCTCTGATTACGGACGCAAAGAGAGAGACACGATCCATTTTGTCCTCCAAAGAAAAAGCTGGCAATGGTTTTCGCCAAGGCTAAGTCCTGCCCCCTCTCTTCTTTGTGTTGTACATGCATAGAATCGTCAGA